GGGGGGGCCCTGCCTGGGGGAGACCCTGCCTGAGGGGCTCTACCTGGGGGAGACCCTACCTGGGGGAGACCCTGCCTGGGGGGGCCCTGCCTGGGGGAGACCCTGCCTGGGGGCCTCTACCTGGGGGAGACCTTGCCTGGGGGAGACCCTGCCTGGGGGAGACCCTACCTGGGGGGGCCCTGCCTGGGGGACACCGTGCCTGGGGGAGACCCTGCCTGGGGGAGGCCCTGCCTGGGGGGCCCTGCCTGGGGGAGACCGTGTCTGGGGGGCCCTGCCTGGGGCACTTGCTGTGTGGAGCTGGCTGCGGTCTCCCGCTGCCATTTCTCGGGGCATTATTGGAGTGAGGTGGGTGAGGCCTGCTGTGTACGTGGAACAGACAGCACCCACGTGTGGCCACGCGTGGCAGGTGCCTGTCCTTTCTTGCCCCTTGGGGCCCCTGCCCATCCCCCTCCTGGCATGCCAGTGACAGCCCCGAGCAGCCCCTGCCTCCTCCCACTCGCGGGGGGCTCCTGGGGTCTGGGAAGTGCTGTCCCCGTGGGGGGTGGCAGGGCTCTGCCGAGTCCCCTGTCCCCAGGGCTCACAGCACAGCTGCACCTGCTCCGTGTGACCCGGGACCTGCGCGCGTCCCCTGGGTCGTGGACACAGTCAGTGCTGACCTTGCTCGGGTCTTCACGATGGAAGAGGGCAGAGGGGCCTCCCCTCTCTGAGGTGGGGTTCCCAGAAGTTGGGGGAGCAAGTTTGCCCTCGCTCCCTGGGCCCCCCACTTCTGTCCCCACCCTGTCCGTGGAAGACGACCTCAGAGCTGCAGTCCCTGCGGCCAGTGCATGGGGGGGGGACGCAGGCTGGGTCTGACACGGAAGACGGGAAAGGAGACCCTCTCTGGGGGCGGGACACGGGTGTCAGCAGGGCAGGCTCTTGGGGTTCTTGCATCCTTAGCCACAGCTGCCGTGTGTGCTCTGTGACAGGTGCCAGGATTCCCTAACAGCACACTAACCTGTGGGAGCGGGGCCGCAAGCGGCAGGTGCGGGGCCGCAGGGCAGCTCCAGGTGCCCCCGACACTCAGGACACCTGGCCACAGCCCTGGGAGGACCCTTTTGAGCCTCATGGCTGGTCTCAAGGCTGGCCTGGTCCCTTGGACTGTGCAGCCCCCACGGCCCTAGCAGGCGCCTGGTGAACCCTCCTGGGGTAGCCTGCTGCCCGCCCAGCCAGGACATCGTTACAGCGGACATGGTCAGGAGGGGCGCTGGCTGGGGTCCCTGGGGTGCTGGTGGGCCCTGGGCAGGGTGGGTGGTGTCCCAGCTGCACCCCCCCAGGCCTGCTCAGTGATCGCTGCTGTGGTGTCTGAAGTCCCCACAGCCCCTTCGGGCGGCCAGAGCCCCAGGAGGGAGGCGGGTGCAGGGATGAGCAGGGGCAGCGAGGTCCCGGGGTTCATCAAGATCACTGGCCCATCCCACACCCTGCTGCCCGCCGGGGAACCGGGTGAGCTGCAGGTGTCCTTCCTGATCCAGCTGACAATTTAGGGCCGGGACATGCTTCTTGTGGACCAGACTGGGTTAAATTTGACTCACTTCACTGTGACCACGACGGGGTTCGTGATGTTAGTTTGGAAGTTAAATGATGGCTTGGGCACCGTTGCAGGAAGGAATGAAAGCTGTGGGCAGGGTGAGGAAGCTGGCTTCGTGAGAAGGGTGACAGCTTCCCTTTCCCATCCCGGTCAGGGAATATCGGCTTAGACGATTAATTTCCGGGCAGATGTCACCGTGGCAGGTTTTCGGAACATGCCTTCATTAGTCCATGGCTTTTGCTCATTGGAGACTAATCAAACCCTTTTTTAAAAAACAGTATCTTGTCTCATTATAAAAGGAACACAAGATTGTTGTCAGAGTTGGGGGAAATACAAAGAATAAAGTAATTTATTGTTTAACAATCCCGTCATTCTGCCTCTGAGGGGGAAGTGTGGTCACGGTCTGGATGCGGTGTGTGCGCGCGGCTCCTTGGGGCTCGTGCGTGGTGAGACTTTGCGTCACAGCCTCTCCCCACCCCATGCGGCCGGCCTGACAGCGAGGGGGACGGCTCGGAGGGTCAGTGACCTGCTGGGGCCATGGGTGGGTGCCGGCATGTGGCCCGGTGGCCAGGCTCCCCTTCTTGGCGCCACACAAGTGATTTCTCTCCCCAGTGCGCTCGGCAGTCGATCAGTCTTTGGGATGGGGCTGTGCCCTCGGGGACAGCTTTCAGGAATAACATACAGTCTTTTCTGTATTGCTTACTTCCCAAAAGGGGGTTCCCACGTGCATTTTTCTCCTGATTTTTATGTATGAAAACGACCCCGGCTCCCACCTCCCCACCCCCCTGAGCTCTCCCTGCCTGGGCTTCGCTCCATCCTGGTCCACACGCGGAAGGACTTCTCGGTTGTCATGCACACGTTGGGGGAGTCAGCTCTGACAGTCCTGGGACGGTTGGCAAATTCGGAATACGGACTGCAGGTTAGGTTCACGTTCTGTATCGCGTTCGACTTACGGCACTGAGATCGGGCCAGAGAGCGTCCTCGTTCTTAGGACATGTTCACGGGCTGTCGCCTGGTAGGAGCACGTGGAGCGTGGGGCTTCTCTCAGATGCTCAGGAAAAGTACGTGTGTGTAAGGCGTGACGTTCCCGCTCAGGAAAGGCACGTGCGTGTTTGCAAGTCTGTCCCAGCCCAGCACTGTCACATGGCCCTGGGAGAGCTGACCACAGATGAGGCAGCAGAAAGACCTTCTGGTGCCTGGGTCTGTTCTCCCCAAGCCCAGGCGGGGACCAGGGCCCGGCAGGTCTGGGGAGGCCTGCGGAGTTTAGCACGTTTGCTGCACACCACAAAGCCTTCCTGATTCACCAGGGATCGGCAGACAGAGAGCACCCACCTGCTGGTACAATCACGTGCTCCCCAGACCCTTGCTCTGAGGGGCTCAGCACGTGCAGGGGTGGGTGGGGGCTCAGGACCCCTGGCACCCCCTCCCTGGGTGCATCCAACCCTGCGGCAGCTGCCATCCTGACCTTGGGACCCCCCTGCCTCCAAGGTCTGGCCACACGTGTGTGCCCAGCGACCTGCGTGTATTGATCTCTGTGAAAGAAAGCACATTTTGGGTCTTCCTTTGTAAGTGGCTTGTTGACTCAGCCTGTGTAGGGAGTTGGGGTGGTGTGCCCGCGCTGCCGATGGGTGATTCTGTTGTGCAGCTGTAATCATGTTAGTTCTGCGTTCTCTAGTCAATGGAAAGGTGGGTTTTTTCAGTATTTTGCTCTTAAAGCCTCCATCAAATTTTAAAATCCTCCTGGTACCCTGATTGTGTGGAATAGAACATTTCTGATAAATGGCTCAGTCCTTAGAGGCCCAGCCTCTGGAACGGAAGCACTGGCCTCGAGGGGCAGGGAGGAGGGCCAGGAGGGCCCCCAGGACCTCCTCCAGCCCCACGGCCACCGACGAACACGCTCGGCTTCAGCAGGAGGCTCCTACGAGTCTGGAATTAGGACACGTAAGTGAAGGATAAATTGGGGCTGTCAGCTCTGCCGTGAAATGTACAGCACTTTGTCCTCCCGAACCCCCTGGGGCTCCCCGCTTCTGCCTCCGTGGGCCTCTCGCCACAACACCAGGCAGCCTGTTCCCGCCCCGGCCCTGCCGGCCAGGGGACCCGGGCGGTCGGCGGGCACGCACGGAGGGAGGCGGTGGGCACCTCCCGGGCCGTGAGTGTGTCTGGCACCCACTGGTCTTGGTGCTGGGCCCGGGGGGTCATGGCTGCTGGGGCACAAGGTCACACCGTGTTGCTCTCTGTCCGCAGATCACCAGAAGCTGGAGAGAGAGGCTCGGATCTGCCGTCTTCTGAAGCATTCCAACATCGGTGAGCAGCCCTCCCAGGGGCGGGCGCGGGGGCCCCGTCTCTCTGCCCCATGGCCAGAGGCTTTCTCTGCCGAAGATCACGCTTGCAGAGGGACACCCAGAGGCCTCGTTTTCCTTCTCCGTAGAAGTGTCCCCACCCTCAGGCACTTGGCAACGGCTCTCCCTCCTGACCAGCGGGGACCCTGGGGGCTCCGGGCAGCCCCCTGTGACAGCTCCGCCTGGATGGGTCCCCGCCCATTGCTCTAACTCCCAGCTGTGATCCTGGCAGAAACATTCTGTGGCTTCAGAAAAGCCACAAGACAGCTCAATTAAGACGAAAAACGGTTGGAAACGGAAAACCTCAAAGGCCACGCCAAGCGCCGTCCTGGCCTGATGTCTGAGGTCTGGTTCTGGAGAACCACCGCTGTCCCCTGCTGGTCCTCGCCGCTGCGGCCTGGGACGGTGGTCCCGGCAGGGGCTGCGGAGGCCCGGGAGCCTGGGGCCTCGGCCTCGAGGACGGTCGCCCTTTTTCTGAAAGCCCAGATCCTCCCCCTTGTGCACCCACAGGACCCTGGAAGTCAGCTGGGCCTCCCGGGCCGCTCGACTTCCACTCAGCCACGTGCCTGCCCCTCACCCCAGCGGCTCTGGGGTGTTCCCTGCCTGCTACCCTGGGGCGCAGGTGTGTGTACTCCTGCCTGCCCTGCTCCACCACCGGCCCTGTAGGGACTTCTGAGGAGCCCCCTGCGGGAAGCAGCTGGGAGGCACTGACGGGCCGTTGGATTTGCTGCCTCGGGGGGTGCCCAGGGAGCTTGTCAGGGTGGAGTCTGGGCCCCTCCTTCCACGGTTCCCACTCAGTTGTGCCAGGACAGGGCCCAGGACTCTGTTTAATAGGAATAGCAGGCCGGGTGGCTCAGCCACTTCTGGAGCCCCTGGCCTGGGGGGTGCATGCCACTCCCAGCTCCCAGGCCAGGGCCTCAGCCTCGGGGAGCCCCAGGAGGCTGCAGGAAGCCTCAGCCAGCCCTGGGAGCTCTGCCTGGAGGCCCGTGGCCCTGCAGGACCCGTGGGAGGGGCGGTGAAGGCAAACCCCCCACTTCCTGGGCAGCGCCCCCCCGTGCCCACAGGCGGCTTCAGCCCTGGGCACGGGCCTTTACTTCCAGCTTTTCAAGCCCCGTGTGTTGTACCCACTGGCATGCAGGGTCCTGACTCAGAGGCCTGGCATGGGCCTAGGAATTGGAGCTTCACCAGTGTGCTTGGTGATTCCAATGCCGGCATCCACAGGGACCCCAGCCGCTCTTCACTGGGTGGGGGGCGGGGGTGTGTGGGCACACGGTGGGCTTCAGTCCGACCTTCCACTGCCCCGGACACCAGTCACCTGCTCACCCTCACCACCACCCCACCAAGTCTGCCCGCCTCCCTGCCTTTGCCAGCCCCCTTCCCTGCATCATCTGAGCACCAGCCAAGAGTGGGTCAGGAATTCCCTTTTAATAGGGGAGGATCCAGGTGTTCTCTGGGTTGGTGTTTTGTGACAGTTTTTCAAAAGACATCTCCTTTCCCTGCCTGGATGCCCAGTGTTGTTCCTGGTCAGTTATGATCAGTCCCTGAAGTCCTCATAGCAGCTTCATTCCAGAACACGGGGAGGCAGAGCTGAGACTGGGGTGCAGAGGGAACATTCCAGAACATGGGGAGGCAGAACTGAGACTGCAGGGTGCAGAGAGAACATTCCAGAACACGGGGAGGCAGCGCTGAGACTGCGGGGTGCAGAGGGAACATTCCAGAACACGGGGAGGCAGAGCTGAGACTGGGTTGCAGAAGGAACATTCCAGGACAAGGAGGAGGCAGGCTGACACAGGGGGATGCAGAGGGAACATTCCAGAACATGGGGGAGACAGAGCTCAGACTATGGGGTGCAGAGGGAACATTCCAGAACAAGGAGGAAGCAGAGCTTACACGGAGTGGTACAGAGGGAACATTCCAGAACATGGGGGAGGCAGAGCTCAGCCTGGGGGGTGCAGAGGGAACATTCCAGAACACGGGGGAGGCAGGGCTGAGACTGGGGCATTTAAAGGGAACATTCCAGAACATGGGGAGCCAGAGCTGAGACTGGGGTGCAAGGGGAACATTCCAGAACATGGGGGAGGCAGGGCTGAAACTGGGGCATTTAGAGGGAACATTCCAGAACAAGGAGGAGGCAGGACTGAGACTGGGGTGCAGAGGGAACATTCCAGAACATGGGGAGGCAGGGCTAGACTCGGGTGCAGAGGGAACATTCTCTGTAGACTCAGGAGGGGCTCTCTGGGGAGTAGTGGGAGAGACGTCAAGGGGGAGGTAAAGGGTCCCCTTGCTCCCGGGCCTGGGTCTGCCCAGCCCCACTGTGGACAGAAGTGCCCCTGGTGCCCCGGGAGAGGCAGTGGGACCTCATTCAGCCAGGTGCAGGGCGGGGTCTCTGGGGCTCCCCATCCTGTGCCGCTTCCTCAGAGCAGCTGTGTTTGGGGCGTGGGGAGGGAAGGAGCCTCAGTTTCTCCATCTGTAAAGTGGAGAAGGGCACTCACAGGGAGTGCCCGGGAGGAACTGAGAGGAGTCAGGTGGAGGGTGCAGCACTGAGCCCTCCCTGTGGAGGTGACCTGGGGAGGCTCGGAGTCCGTCGTGGCTGGCGAGCTGCCGTGGCTCTGAGCTCCCCCAGGGTCTGTGCCTCGAGCGGGGCCGCACAGGCCACACACTTCTGGGGCTCTTAACCCGCGTGAGTCACCTGCGCTGCCTGACCCACAGCAAATCTCAACCCGTGCGCACTGATTTTCTCTGTGGACTCAAGAGCCGTGGGGCTGGGTGGTCAGGGCTGCTACAAAACCTGCGGGATCCGTGCAAAATGAAAATGCAGGACTCAAGACAGCAGAACAGGCCTCCCGGCCCGGGCCCGGGCAGCTCCACCAGGGCTCCCGTGCGGTGTGGACACTGGCCCGAGCTGCATCTTCCGAATGTTTGCCTGCATCTTTAGCGTTTGCTTCTAGGGCTTGCTCACGTGGCCATCGGTGGGAGGCCGGAGTCCCTCCCTACTGGGCGTCTCGTCGGGGCCACTTGAGCATCTTCACGTGGCAGTGGGTCCCCAGAGTGCATAATGACAGGGACTCAGAGGGAGACAGAGAGGTAGGGAGGGAGAACGAGGGGCACGAAGCTGCTTTTTCCTCCCAAAATGTAGTAAAATGCACATAGTATTTATAATTTTAACCGTTTTTAAGGTACATAGTTCAGCGTCATCATGTATATTCACAACACGTGTGATCATTGCCGTTATCTGTACCCACACTTTCAGTCATCCTGGGTGGGAAGTCTGCACCCGGGAAACGCTACCTCCCGTTGGGCCCCCAGGCCCGGGAACCACCACGCACTGTGTCCGTGGATTGGTCCCCGCTGGGAACCGCATGGCCGCGGGATCACACATCGGTCCCTTTGTGACTCTCGTTTCGCTTGGCATAACGTCCTCACCGTCCGTGTTGAAGCAAGTTGCCGGATTTCCTTGCTTTTCAAGGCTACGTAATATTCCGCCCTGTGGCCGGACCAGTTTGCTTCTCCGTTCACCCTACAGTGGACCTTGGCTTCTTGCCGCCTGTCGGCCGCTGCAAACTGCTGCTGTGGACACGGGTGTGCGAGTATTTTTTTTTTTTTAAAGATTTTTTATTTATTTATTTGAGAAAGAGAGAATGAGAGAAAGCACATGGGAGGGGGGAGGGTCAGAGGGAGAAGCAGACTCCCCGCTGAGCAGGGAGCCCGATGTGGGACTCGATCCCGGGACTCCAGGATCACGACCTGAGCCGAAGGCAGTCGCTTAACCAACTGAGCCACCCAGGCGCCCCGGGTGTGCGAGTATTTGTGTGGATCCGGCTTTCACATCTCTGACCACACACCCGGCGGTGGCGTGACTGGCCCACGGGCCGGTCTGTGTTTCACTTTTGCAGGAACCGCCATGCTTCCTAGGCCTAGTCTAGGAGGGGCCACGCCATCACCCTGCCGATTCTCTTCTTGAAGGCCGGCCACACGCGAGGCTCAGGGACCTAAGCTCTCCTCTTGAAGAGGAGCATCAGAGCATGGGGTGTGTTCTGCCCTCCGCGATGAGCATGTGGGGCCTCTGCTGAGCTGTCACACTGGGAGTGAGGTGCACAGAGCCGGCTTCCCATCACCAGCTGCCCAGGCAGAGCCCTCCCCAGCTGGTACAGTTTCTCTTCAGAGACAAGGAGGTCCCTGGGCAGGGCAGAGGGAGCAGCCGTGTGGCCTGGCTTCAGCGGTGCCTTCTGCGGGGAGTAGGCCTGGGTGTCTGGGATGGGCCCCACCCAGTGTCCCCCAGCCTCCCCCCAGCCTCCCTCCAGCCTCCCCCAGCCTCCCCCCAGCCTCCCCTCAGCTT